GGGGGGGGGATTAATGGGAGGTATTAATGGGAGGTATTAATGGGGGGATTAATGGGAGGTATGGTCAAGGGGAGATCTAGGGGATTTTTTGGGAGTATCTTTACAGAGAAGCACTCAGGGTTTTCCGAGGGGCGGGCATGTTAATGAGGGGCATGGTCAAGGGGAGATCTCGGGATTTTTTTTAGATATTTACAAAACAAAAATATTTGCAGTCCATGGGTTGATGAAGAACTTGGGTCACAATCCCGAATTACTTTTCTAATCAATCTTTCGATTGTATGTTTCAAATGTGAAATATCGTCTAAGAACCCCAGGAATCTCCTCTTAGCCATTTTCTATGAAAATACCCTAAAAACTCCTCTGAAAAATGTTCCGTGAAAATCTCGGCGATCCCCCTAGAAAAATCCCCCTAGTTATCCCCTCAAACCTACTTTGAGAAATGTTCTCCAGATTTCTCCGGAATTCCGTTCCAACCATACTTTCGAGATCTACTCTTGACCACACCCCTATTGACACCTGGAAGTAAACTCAAAGAACCCCTCGGGATGTCCTCTTCATCATACACTCCTTGGCAAATCCTAGAAAGATCCAGAGAGCTATCCCCAAAAGTGATCTTCAAAATCACCCAAGATCTGCCCTTGACGATCCCCTTCATTAATCCACTCCAGAAAGACCCTCAGAGCTCCCCTAGAAAGTCAATCCCAAAAAACTTCAGAGATCTCCCTTCGAGTATACCTTTCATCAATACCCCCTCGAAAGGCCCTGAAAGTTCCTCTTGACCATATCCCCCATTGACCCCCCCTCCCTAGAAAGATCCTGGGGGCTGCCCTAGAGCTGTCCTGGAGAGTTACCCTCAATAAAACCCTGAGATCTCCCCTTGTCCTTATCCCCATCGACCCCCCCCCTGGAAAGACCTTGAGAGCTCATGCGGAAAGATACCCTTCAAACCCCCCCCCCGAGATCTCCCCACGATCATCCCCTCCATTGACTTGCCACCCCCTGAAATGACCCGGAGAGCTGCCCTGGAGAGTGACCCCCAAAAAAACTCGATATCTCCCCTTACCATACCCACTACTGACCCCCACACCACTGACCTCCACACTGAAGTTATCCCCAAGAAACCCCCAAGATCTCTCTTTGACCATACCCTCCAATGACCCCCCCCCCCCCCCCCCCCCCCCCCCCNATTGCCGAGATCTCCCATTGACCCTCTTCAAAACACCCAATTCACGTTCAAACGCTTTTCCTCACTCTGTCAACAAAATAACCCTCCAATCAATGAATTATGGCAAATTCTAACATCAATGTTTCAATTTCTTCCCAACCCTACTTGTCGCTCACTTCAATCACCTATTTGGAGCCGACTTCTGATAATAGCCGTTTTCGTAAATGGAGTCTCTGGCCTTAGTGATCAATTATTTTTTCTATTGATTTGACACGAGTAAAAAAACCCCATGGCACTAGTCGTCAGGGTTGGCAGCATAACTGCGGCGTCTGTCGATAACCGCAGTTATTTACATGACATTGTAAAAAGCCCATAATTTACGTAATAAATGTAAAAAATGCAGAAAAACAGCCGACATTACCTTTTATCGTAAACCGTGAAGCTTCCCGAAGATTACACCTTGCGAGGGTGATAAGTGACGACTCCTGATTCACGAGGGTCCCACCTCGTAAGGGTCATACCGTCTAAGGGATGAAATTTACACGGGTCAATCTCATTATTTATTGATCTCTATTGAATTCGTCGAGTCATCATCTTTTGTCTTGACGTTAACTTGTTTCATTCAGCATTCTTAAGTGACAAAACTAATTCAATTGTCTCTGATAGCTTTTTTGAACTCTTTAGAACAAAATGATTCTTTCAGGTCCAACCGGGTTTTTCCAGGGCTCCAAATACTAAAGTGGAGAATCCAATAAAGCTTAATATTAGGTGTGTGACTTAATTTTTACAGATTTTTCAGTAAATTTATTTAATATAAAAAAATAGAGAACAACGAACTTAATCTTGGAAATATTGTCCATCGTTTTCTATGACCTTGCGCCATCTCTCAGGTAACATTCGAATGCCGTCGCGAAAGAAACTTGCAGGCTTCGAGGCGATAAAGTCATCGACGAATTTACGCACATCGTCCAGCGTGTTATTAGTACATTAGAGTACAAGGGCACAAATTTCGTTTTCAACGAATGTGAAGTTTATGCCCGAGTGGTCTGTACTATTTTATGCCACATCGTGCAAAAGTCGAGTTTGGAGCACGCTGCGCGAAACGCAGCGTGCGATAAACTCGACTTATTGCACGGCGTGCCTGTAAACATTCGTCGAAAACGAAATTTGTGTCCTTGTACTCTAATGTACTATTATCCACTAAGGCGTGCTGCATGGACCGAAACAAGTGATAGTCGGATGGGGCCAAGTCTGGTGAATATGCCGCGTGCGGGAGAACTTCCCATCCCAAGTTTACGAACCTCTTCTGAGTCGCGCGAGCAACGTGAGGTCGAGCATTGTCATGCAGCAGTATGACTTGCCTGCTTCCTTGCGCAGTAAATGGCTTTTTCCGATCAAGTTCTTCGCTCAGTTTGTTCAATTGTCGGCTGTAGCGTTCCGCAGTCACCGTCTGACCTGTTTCCAGGAGTTCATAATAAAGCACACCCTTCATGTCCCACCAGATACACAGGAGAATCTTCTTCAAGTGGATGTTCTGTTTTGGCGTCGATGTACTGGATTGTCCGGGATCTACCAACGACTTTTTACGTTTGGGATTCTCGTAAATAATATACTTTTCATCACCCGTCACAATTCTCCACAAGAAGTCCTTTTTTTGTTGCCGGGAAAGCAGTGAAAGGCACGTGTTCACACGTTGATTTAGGTTGTGTTCGGTCAACACATGTGGGACCCACATTCCAAGTTTTTTGATTTTTCCCATTTGACGCAAACGCTTAGAAATAGCTGTTGAGTGACTCCGATACTAACTCCTAACTGAGCTACAAGCTCTTGTTGTTTACGTTGAGTCTTCATCCAGTAGAGCTTGCAATTCCGCATATGTAAACTTTCGAGGCTGTCCAGGACGCGGCTGGTCACTCAGATCGAAATCACCACTTCTAAAACGTTTGTACCAATAATTACACGTTTCATAAGAAACAACGTCGGCACCAAGAACACTACACATTGATTTCCGTGCTTCAGAAGCATTTTTTACTTGTTGGAATTCGTATAAAATGCAGTGCTGTATGTGCTGTTTATCAGTTGTCATCGTAAACTCTGCTATTCCGACAGGTTCTGTAACTTACATAGACTTGTCATTCCGTGTTCTGAAACCTTTTGTCCGATCCTTTCAAAACCAGAAAAGACTGCGAATATATTTCTATTTTAAATATAATTTTAAGCTCGAAGAAAAAATCTGTCAAAATTAAGTCACACACCTTATAGATAATGAGGTTGACTTTCTCACAATGGAAATGACTTGTGACCTTGGTCTTTTGCAACGTTTGACCCTCGTGAAATTCACTCGTTATGAGGTATGGGGCTCATGTTTTTGAGTTTCTTAAAATGCCGCGAATCGTGCCACGTGATGTAATAATATATTATGTCACCAGGCGATGAAAGTATTTTCTGACGAATGTGGCTTTATAATCCGAGCCGAAAACGAGGATTTTAATCTTATGAGTAAAAAAAAGTTCTATCGCCATGTGACATACACTATTTTATATCTCTGGGCCCGAAAATTACGATTTAACCGAGGAAATTGATGTTAGAATCATAGTTTTACGGTCCTAGGCACATGAAATAATATTTTACGCCCCAAGTACTGAGAACCGCGTTCTGACCGAACAAAGTGAAGTTGAAATTCGCGGCTTATCTGTCCTCGGAACATAATATACTATTTTTTATTATATTTATGTGTCTAATAGTGCCTTTTCGTCAGTCGAAATAAAATATAGTATATTTCGTCATTAGGCCGAGAAAAAATTTTCGAAAAAAATGTTGGCGAATATGAGTAGTAGATTATGTCATCAGGCATAATGGCTTCGGCTCGGATTATAAAGCCACATTCGCCAGATAATACTTTTATCGCCGCGTGACATCCAATATTTTATGTCATTGAGCTCGCTTCGCTCGATTAGATCGCAGTTTATCGGACCCAATGACATAAAAAAATATATGCCCTAGTCGTCCAGAAATTAGGGGTTTCGGTTGCATTCAACTATTTCTTAATTTAATTATTCATTTTTTTTCTGATTTTCACTTCAAATATTTTTTTTGTATTTTGCTCACGAAAAATGTTCGTTTTATGCGAAACAAGGGATAGTAGTGTTTCATTTCGGCTATTCAATAATCACAGACAAGAAATGAATCCTTAAGGCCTGGCTCCATTATCTACCGAACGTTATCTAAATTAATTTTTTTGTTCGATATTTATCTCGAAATTTCAACTCGATGTCCCGTCACTCAAGGATTCTCGAACATTCTGAATTGCGATTGAAAAAAAACGTATTAAAAAATTAAACATTTTGAAGGATCATTTTCAATTACTATTGAAGAATGATTTCAATAAAGGAAATATGAATAATGTATAATTACCGTGGCAAATGGCGGCCTATCAGTCGCCACCATGGGAGAACAAAGATGAAATAATAAATCCTTTTGCACACCACAACAAAACTATTGTACAAAAAGAAGGCTCTGAAAAAATTTGTAATATTGTTAAGAATTTTTTGATCACACTTTTACGATGAGCTACTAATCACTTACACCAATCTCCTCAATTGAAAATTGTACTGTCCATCAACTGTCACTGTTGTCGGGAATTGAAAACAAGAAAATCGTTCTTTCTTCCTTTTTTGCACCCCCAACAAAAGTGACAGTTGATGGACAGTACAATTTTCAATTGAGGAGATTGGTGTAAGTGATTAGTAGCTCATCGTCAAAGTGTGATCAAAAAATTCTTAAAGGTATTTCAAAATTTTTCAAAGAAATTTTTCTTCTTTTCGTACAATTGTCTGATTGCGCTGAGCCAAAGGATTTATTATTTTGGTTTTTCCTCCCCCCATGGTGACGACTGACCGGCCGTCATTTGCTACGGTAATAATATATTATTCATATCTCCTCTACTTGCCTTATTCCTCAATATTAATTAAAAACCCTCTTTCAAAATGTTTAAAATTTTTCTACTTTTTTTTGCTTTCGGATGGGAGCATTGTAATCGTGATTTTTCTCGATTTCTTACTTTCGGGTGGAATTGCCTAGAAATGTCATGAAGAAATGTGAAGAAATGATCCTATTTTTTATCCTATCGTAAAAAGGAGAAAGGAAATCGATCTCGAAATATCTCGAAAATCTCGAATAATCTCGAAAATCTCAGCACGCGCGGCCGATCTCGTGTATTTAATAAATGTCTGTAGGTATGTGTGTGCACATGTGTGTTCGTCTGTCCAAAACTGTCCCTATAACTCGAGAATTATTGACGCAAAGATGCTGAAATTCTGACTGGTAATTGGTACTACTCAGACTCAAATTTCTACTAAATTTCAGCTCGATCGGTTGAGCGGTTCCTGAGATATAGCGATTCTTCGAAAATCGCTTTTTTGCCAATATCTCCTGAACCATTCGACCGATTCGAATTTTTTTTTTTAATACTCGTCATGATGATACCTATTTAATTGGATTGAAAAAAGTATTACACCCTGAACAACGTAGTTTTATTCTGGTTTTTTCATTTTTTCGCGGAAATCGAGATAGTATTTTGGAACTTGGTATGATTTTGGTAACAAAGTTTGGCATTCTGGATGAACGAAATCGGACCAGTAGTTTCGGAGATATTCAACTTTGCATATGAAACTCTTTTGCTCAATATCTCAAAAACTATTGGTCCAATTGAATTTTTTTTCAAATGTTGCGTTTTGATGTCATCTATCTAGATCCAACAAAATATGGGTACCATCGCATTGAAATTTTTCGAGATATAGTGGTTTTTATATATTTTTTGGTCGGAATTCACTTTTGCGTACTATGACATGGGTAAAAGTCAGGGAAGCCTTTTGAAACTTTGGCTTCTAGGTAGGATTGTCAAGGAACATTTCAGTAGCGAAGCGGTAAACCGGGTTAAGTCGATTTTGACTTCTAGTCAGTTTTTGATGAATATCTCGGAATCTGAGGGAGATAGCAAAATTTTTCTCATCACCTTTTTTATAAGCCTCAATTGATCCTACAAAAAAAGTCATGACAAAATTTTTTCCATCTCTTTTAGATTCCGAGATATTCGTCAAAAACTAGCCAATAGTTACAATCGACTTAGCCCGGTTTACCGCTTCGCTACTGATTTCTATATAGAGTTTTAGGTCGATATAAGTATTTAAGAGTTGTTGAGATGGAACAATTCACCGAAAATTCTTGATAAAAAAAATTAACACAGCTCACCGTTCTCACATTTCACCGTTCCTTTTCACATCAGGATAACTCAGGAAGCCATATAACATGAATATATGGTTTTTTCAAATTTATTTGATAGAAATAGGGGAAAATACATACACTGGGATCCATTCGGAAGCCTACTACCAATGAAATTGGTAGAAATGAAAAAAAGGAGAAAAAAAAATACACGGAGAGTAACAGTCATATGTAATCTGTCAAATGGCTCCTGTCGCGCTGCTTGTTTCAATCCAAATTCATAATTTTTGGGTGAGGGGCTTGTCACTTAGGAAATCACTGGACTACTCGACTGGAAATCAAGGAAGAAATCACTAGAAATCGATGAAAATCACTGGAAATGAAGTGATTTCCATTTTCGGTAGTGATTTCTAAAGATTCCTGGAAATCATCGGAAATCCATAGAAATCATCGATAAGTGTAAAATCGAAATTGATTTTGCAGTTTCACCTTTACAATTTTTGTTATGCTATCGGTGCGTTCGAAATCACCCAATCTCGAAATACGACGCTATGAAGTTTCTGACATTCTTACGTCTTGTAACGTTATGTAGAAAACTACCATTATCGACAGATACCTCACTCCTCTGGTCCCAAAATCATAATTTCCCCAGTGATTTCTTGAAAGCAAGAAATCATGATTTCTAATGCTGATTGAAAAATCACAAAAATCATTCTAGAAATCACAGAAAACAACAGGAAATCACAAGAAATCATCTGATTCTGGAAATCACTGAGTCAATCGATTGAGGAGTGACGAGCCCCTCGTTTTTGGGGGTCTCTAAGTGACGGGGCATGGAGTTGAAATTTCGAGATAAAAGTTGAACAAAAAAAGCATTCTAGATAACGTTCAGCAGATAATGGAGCCGGGCATGAAATGAAATAATCTTGTAATAAATGTTGCAACTTAGGGACAAAATATTTCTTGATAAATTTTCCACTATATGAGATATATTCATCCTTAAAAGGCACCGTCTCGTGTGAATTATCGGCCTCTTGAGCGAAATATTTCGTTGTCATCGAAAGCAGAACAATTATTCATGTTTGCAACTTTCAAATTCGAATCAAACAATTTCTTTTTTAGCAATTTTCAACTAGCGATTTTGTTGACACAAACAAGACTTTTGATAGCTTGTTTTTCTCTTACTGTAGATATAGAGCATTCTATATGAACTCGTGAGGGTTCAAAGAATGGATGGATATAGGGATTAAGAATTATGAGTAATCGTATGAGTCAGTAAATTAATTAATCCAAATTATTTCAGCAAGGATTCAAATTAAATCTTGGTGTAAGTATTATGGGCCCAATGATAATTTTCCCAAGGACCGTGATTGGGTGGAATATTACGACAGTAGAGGATATCAACGAAAATTCAATGACACTTTTCAAAGTCTTAGACCCAAAGCCAGATATTATGCTCCTAGGCCTAAACAAACCATATCCGAGAGAAACGAAATTCATAAAAGACTTCCAGAGCATCCTACAAGGTCTTGATATTAGACACGAAATTCTCTCCGTAGAGAAAGCTTGCACGACGTTCAATTTCTTAAATGCTGAGAGAAGGTACGCTGTAGCTGCACTTCTACCTCCGGATAATCTTGATGATTTGGACATGGACAGTATCAATGATATGGCATTACGAAGAACACTTTATGAAGGTTGGCAAATACCCAAAGATCCCAGGTTCGAGAACCCGAATACACTGGAGGAATTTTACTTCCCTAGTGAAGAAACAAAGAAGATGTTTGCGGAAGTAAAGAAAAGAAGAGCAAAAAGAGCAGCTAAGAAAAAGGAAAAAGATTTGGAAGATGATTTGTAAATAAATTATGTAATATAAATGATAATATTTAACATCTGGTATAACATTGGTTGCACGAACCTGAATGAAAAAATTTTTTCGAGAAAAAAAGTATCCAATCTGTTGAAATTAAATTTTCAGAACGATTCCAGAGATGAGACCCTCTTCACTTGATTTTTTCCTATAATGAAAAATTTATCCCAAAAGTTCAGTTAAAAACCAAACTTTTTTTTCGACACTTTTTCCATTCTGATGTCAACTTGTCGAGGTATTTATTTATTCCCACATTTTATTCATATACACTTATGTCCGCTACCGGTCGGACCGAAAAATCCTATTTTGAAAACTTTCAACGCAATAAAAATCAGTTACGCATATCTCTCTTCCTTATTGAGTTTAGGTTCTAAAAATTTGAGACAAAATTCCGTCTTATACCACTGATAATTGGGAAAATTTTAGAAATGATTGACATTCTGAAACCGAATGATCAGTCGATAATTGGTGAAATGTCCCATATGAGGTATTTCATGTTGAATCGGCCAATCCCTGATCCTCACCCCCTTGAAAGTTACCGCGAAATTTTTGCGTAGGGGAGGATGGGGCAGAACGGACCGCAGGACAAAACGGACCACTGACAGAAAATGGATAATTTTCGTGAGAAGGCCTCCCTCGGTTAGATCGCGGTTTATGGGCCTTCTAACGAAAAATTGCATTCATCACACGGTCCAAAAGTATTTTCTGACGAATGTGATTATAGATACAAAGCCACATTCGTCAGAAAATACTTTGTGGACCTAACCGACTGTAAGGGTTAGATGGGTGAGGTGTTGCTCGGAGTCTCGCGCGCGCAACGGAGCTGAAGGAGTCTCGCGCGCGCAACGGAGCTGAACGGTTGCATTTGATGCCGAGCCTAACCCCCAATTCCTAGTTAGCCCAATTACCGTAGATTTTCTACTTATTCTCTCGTAATTTTTGTTGATCTCCTCACCCACCATCAGCATCCCGAATAATAACTCAAACAATGGGCTGAGCGACGCTCGCCCAACGTTTCCATGGGCTAAATCCCAACCAGATATGCCCTCACCACGCAGCAAGTTGGCTAACTCCAGACACAATTCTGAGAGAAAATCTGAATCTCAGACCACTAAAACTCCTCAAAAACTCCTCAGAAGCTCTAGCATGAGGCAAATTAACATCACCAGCTCAGCTATCGACAAGAATTACAAAGATTTAATGAAAGAGTTCGGCAAACCAAAGATTAACACAACAATCGCCCCTAACCTCACCAATGCCAGAACACGCAGCCAACAAGTGCCTCCGCCCACACGGGTCCCAGAGGGCACACAACCACCCAATGAAAGTGACAATGAAAATGTAACAGATGCCAAGAATGAAGGCGAGTGGAGCCTCCCTAAAAAGCCAGTTAAAATAAGAAAAATTGATAATACAGCCAAAGACAGACAATGTATTCACTGACAGCAACAGCTTTGATGGCCTCTCCGACAGTGATGCAATGGACACAAGGGCTGATGGAAGCTCAAAAACTCCTCCAACTACAGCCGATGCTACCCAATCACAGAAAAATAAAAAAGTCAGGGCCCCTCCTATCCACGTCTCCAACATGACCATCAGAGAGGTCATAACCTTACTTGACAGCACAGATGGCATCGCCAAAGGATCATTCCAGGTCAGGCAAGACAATGAAAACACCATCACGATAACTACATCAGAGTTAGAGACCCACAACAAAGCTCGAGCCGAACTCACAGCAAAAAAACACCAGTTCTACACATACATGCCCAAAAGCCTACGATCCAAGTCAATCGTGCTAAAAGGAGTAAAAGGTGACTTTGCCGAACAAGACCTAGTGAGTGAAATCAATGGCATGAATCTCAAAACTGTCAATATCCTTAAAATTACTACGATTGTGTTCAACAAAGTGAACCCACAGCACCACTTCCTCGTGCAGATTTCCCATGACAGTTACCTCTCTGAGCTGACTAAAGTCAAGGTCTTGGCGTACCAGAGAGTAAGATGGGAGCACCTCAGAAAGAAAACAATCTTCCAATGCAAAAAATGCCAACGCTTCGGCCATGCCAGCTCAAACTGTAACCTATCCTATAGTTGAGTGAAGTGCAGTGGAGACCACGTACCAGGCCAGTGTCCAATTACTCTAAATTCAGACAAAAATGCTCTCAAGTGTGCAAACTGTGGCAAGCAGGGCCACCCTGCCACCTACAAGGGATGCCTGTACTACAAAAGTGCGGTCAATCTACTGAAGCAAAATTCGAAAGCTCGACAACAAAAAACAAACAAAAAAATTCGTGAGGTCAGCAGATTGATTGACCCATCAGTGTCCTTTGCTACAGCCACGCAACCCAGAGGCCCACAAAACGCCTCCCAAAGCGTTCCCCTCGCCCCCCAGAGCCAAGCACAAAACAATCCTCAACACAATTATGCCCCAACTCCAGAGTACTCCATGCACAACTGGCTTGAGGGCCTAAAAAAAGACATTAGCTCCATATTCACCAAGCTGACTGAAATTGCCACCGAAGTGGCCATCAACACGTCGAGAATCGAAGCCATGGCCAAAGCGGCTGAATTCTGCACCCTACTCCAATAATGGATACACAAAACCCTGCCAGCTCCCAACAGACCCATCCTGCACAGCAGGAACCCAAAGGCCTATCAGCCCTCAACATCGCCGCCATTAACGTCAACTCCTTGGTGGCACATCAACGGAGAAGTCAGCTTCTCAACTTCACGCAGGAGCATGACCTCGACGTTGTGCTCATCTCAGAAACAAAACACCCAAAAGCATAAGACAATCTTTACGAACCACGAGCTAATTCGCACTGATCGTCCAAACTCAAAATGCGGGGGAGGCACAGCAATATTGTTAAAAAAAAATATGGATTACTCAATCATCACTCACCCGAGCTCCACAAACAATCAAATAATTGAATACACAACGATAAAGTTGAGCACCAGCGACAACAAAAACTTCTTCATCATCAGCCTGGATGCTTCGCAGCGGCTAACCCTACTCCAAGAGTTCCTGACTGAGCTAGACCAATTATTCACCTCCCTAAAGTTGGATGACCCAGATAATTATTTCCTTATCGCTGGCGACTTTAACACCAGGCACACGTCGTTTGGAGACAGAGCTGACAACACCCGAGGCACCGGCTTGACGGATTGGATGACAATCAACGCGTACGAGTACGGCTGTAAGCTCATCCCACTCAATGAGCCCACATTTCTACCAGCCCAAACCGTCCTGGACCTCTGCATACTAGACTCGAGACTCAAGATCGCCAATCTCAACAACGATAGAATCCAAACTGCCATATATGACAGTGACCACAAAGCCCTTCTATTGAGTCTGGAGCTATGTAACTCTCCAAGTTGACACCAAAAAACACCTAAAACACCCAGGCTTATGTATAAGTCAACTGACTGGAATGACTTCACTACATCCTTGGAAAAGAGCTATGATATCAACGTGCCCAGCGACAGAAACCTTGACCAGGAAGAGATTGACAACTTTATTGAGTCCATCAATGAAAGCATCATCAATGAAATCAACAAGAAAGTCCCTAGGTCAAGAACCACAGGCAACACTCAGAGATATACCAATAAAAAAATCACCCAGCTTGAGAAACGCAAATCCTCGCTTCTAACGACACTCAATCGCAGACTAAAAATTGATCCTGGATCGAAAACCCCAGAGACCAAGTCCATCAAGCTGTTCCTTGCACACACTGGGGAAGAGCTTAAACTAGAATTTAGCAAATCCATTGATAAGCACTGGATAAATGTCTTCAAGATGATCAACTTCAGAGACTCTGCAAAGTTCATGCCAACTGTCAACAGAATCTTTCGACCAAAACCAAAACAAGGCCTAGCTGACATCCACATTCCTGACAGCAACATCAACATCTTCACCAGCTCGGGGAACGACTTAGCCAAAACTCCACTGGTAAACAACAACTATGTATTTACTGATCCAACCAGTAAGCTTAATGCTATTGGAGCCTTCTATGAGTCGATAAACTCTCCTCGTCATCTAAATGAAGGAACTCGACTCAGAGAAATCATTGATGCCAAAGTGGCAAGGTTTAAGCACACTTTCGAGGAAGAGCGAACGCAGAAGACAGTTATCACCACCTTCACATCTAACAACAGAGCCTCTCACCCGTCTGAAGATACCCTAGATACATCAAAAAACTACAGAACAAAACGTCCAGCGGCATTGACAACATCCCAACAAATGTCATTAAGCACCTGCCGCCGAACATGATTACCGACTTCGCTATCCTAGTCAACAACGCACTCAACTTAAATTACTTCCCCAAAGTTTGGCAAGTGGCTCAAGTAATCCCAATCCTGAAGGACAAGCCCAGCGGCGATCCCTCCAGCTATCGCCCAATCAGCTTGACCCCTAATTTCAGCAAAGTGTACGAAGTAGTGATCAACAACTTAATCACTTGCCACTGTGATAAAAACAATATCATCCCGGACAACCAATTCGGCTTTCGGCACAGACACTCCACTACACATGCCATTCATAAGTTCCTCGCTGATGTGAACAAAACACTCCACCTCAAGTACATGGTTGGAGCCACCCTGATCGACCTTAAAAAAAAGTTCGACTCGGTCTGGCTTGATGGACTGCTGTTTATCTTGATGAAAAAAGAATTCCCATGCAATTTGATCAAACTCATTTGGGACATGATTAGAAACCGCTCTTTCTGCGTGACTGACGGCTCAGACTGCTCTTCCAAACTCTTCAGGATCGTCGCGGGATTACAACAGGGAACAGTCAACTCCCCCTGCCTATTCTCGATATTCACCAGCGGTGTCCTGAACGCCTTCGGGCTCAACACCACCCCTGACACTCACTCCATCGCCTATGCTGATGACCTGATTATCTACGTCACAGGGAAAAATGTAAAAAATATCCAAGCCCCTCTCCAGACGCTTGTCAACAAAACCAACAACTGGTACGCTATGTGGAATCTCAGAATGAGCCCGCAAAAATGCGAAACCATTCTAATCCGCAGA